CTAGCATCAGAAACACCCCTCATTTACATGGTCTCAATGGAGTGAGTGGCACAACTCTACATCACACTTTTAGGTAGTCCCCCAACTGGGCACTGAATCAAATCACAAGGGCCTTGAAATGATGGTTGGGAGCCAATCTGGAAAATCTGCTTTGCCTGTAGATTTCCCAGGGGCATCTTTGTGGCCTGTGTTGAATGAGATATTTATTGCACTCTCCCTCAATTAATGCAATCTTACTAAGCACCCACATGTCACCGTCTTCCGTTTCTAACCCTCCCATGTTTTCCCAATGGAAAGGTTTCTTCATTATTTCCAGAACAAGCATCAAGCAAAGTAAAAGTTTGATAGTGCTAGTGTTCAGTGCCTGGAATCAGAGTTTGGAGGTGATAAGGTGGCTTTTCATTGCTACCACATGAAGTCAGCTCTAGTGGGACATATAGCATAACTGCTGCTGCATAGGGGGATGTGATTTTTCAAAAACAAAAAGGTGTTGAGGCTATTCTTATGAGAATACCTGGGCAAAAAGGCCCAATTTATTTAAACAAGTCACATACACACATGTGGGGAAACAGTGCAGGGTAGCTAAATTGCGAAGAGCAATACCAATACAGATTTCCATTCTATTTGCCTGCCTATATTATCTTCAAGATGTTTGTGTACTGTATATTCAATTGCTTCTACCTATAATGTATAACAGTCCCAAAACCAAACTGTGACATGACAGACATGAACTTGTCATCTGTTGTCTTAATTCTCCATCCATTAAATCAGTGGTTCCCATCCTTGGGTCCCCAGATTTTCTTAGACTAAAACTCCCAGAAGTCTTCACCACTAGCTGTGCTGGCTAGGATTTCTGGGAGTTGTAGTCCAAGAACATCCGGGGATCCAAGGTTGGGAACTCCTGCATTAAACTAATAAAATAGTCATAAAATATGATTAATAAATTTTGGGGAACATTAATTCTAGATACAAGATCTTTGTGTAGTCCAGTAAGATTCTTAGAGTAACAGAGCAATATCAAGGTCAGAAGGTGGCTATTTGTTTTTTAAGAAAAGGGTGGTGGTATTTCAGAAGCTTAGGCCAAGACAATCCCCGCTGATCCCTATGATTTATTTTTCTTTATTTCTAACTATCAATTCCTGAGTCTTCCCACGACTGTGTTGGACTACCTCTAACTTGCCTGCAGGTCCCTCCAGCTCTCCCATGGTGACCATAGTCAGGCCTCCCCACATTAGCTTGAATTGGAAATGGTGTCTTCCTTTTTTCTGTCCTGGCAGCGTGGAGCATTTGAAGATGAAGTGGTGGCTGTCAACCCTCTCTCATCTTCTTTCCTTAGAAACATCTTTAGGAAGTAAAGAGGATGGAGTGGTTGGAAGTCAGCTCATAGCTTTGAAGAGAAGGTTGGTGGTGCCTGGAAAAGGGAATATCTCATTGTTACTTTCAGTCCAAGAAGAAGGCTGGAATATGGTAGAAGACTAAAGGGGAGAAGACTGGCTGACTTGTAGGAAAAATAAAAAAATGTCATCAAACATAGTGGGAGGAGGAAACAAGAAGAATTCAAGCTGGGAGGCTGACCTCACATATGAGAAGACAGAGCATTGGGAAGAGCTGCAACGAGCGATGGGACCAATAATGGGACCGGTGGAACAACTTACTGAGGGGGAGAGCAAGGTTTTGTGTTCGGAGACTCTGAACCCACCTATGCCTTGTATTTGGATGGTTTATTGAGCAGAAGTGGGGACTCAAGTTGTGGATCTCATTGTCAAGTCGGATTAAAGTTGAATTGGTGACTCAATTCAGCTCATCTTGGGTTTCCTTTTTCAATGAATTGGACTTGACTCACCTGTTGGAACCCAGCCACCCTCCCTTTTTTTTCTGGAGAAAAAAAGCTTGTTTTTAAGAGGGACTTGAGCTTGAGACTCAGGAACTTGAGACTCAGGACTTGGTACAGACTTGGGACTCAGACCCAAAGACTTGTCAACATCCCTGTTCTTAGGTTAGCTGCTTCCCAGCTTTCCCAGTTGGCCTTTCAGTGAAATGAGTGTATTGTGATGTGGCAGCCATTTTGTAGATGGGCAGCCATTTTGGGATGGCATGGTGTTTCATTAAAATTCCAAATGTGCTCACCAGTTGCAGAGGTCAGACAGTTTGAAGATCTGAATGTGCCTACTCAGATTTATTCCCTTCCTGTTCTCTTGTGGGTGTTTGCTCTGGCTGAAGCACAAAAGGGGATGTGGTTTCTAAGATGACATCTGGTGCTAATTGGAGACAAGAATGCAATGCTGGAAATCACAAGGACTTTCCATGTAATTGAGACGTACTGGGCTGTAGTTTAGAAACTGGAGCCCTCTTAGAACTTCAGTCTTAAGAAAAAGATGATGCCGAACTACAAGGCTGAGTGGCCGCTTCACGTGAGATGGCCTTTCCGTGTCCTCTTTCTTGGTTGGTACTTCCTCTGGGAGGGTAACAGGAGCAGATATGTGTCGGGGCCGGGTGGAGGATTGCATGTTGCTCTCCCACCACCATCTTCATGGTTCCACTAATGAGATCCTCTCCTTTTCAGGCTGGTGGCTGACGGAGCTGTTTGGGTTGTCTGGAGGTGAGTGATTCATATTGTTATGCTTACTGATTTCTTCAGGTAGAGAGCTTTTTTCATGGATCTTTTGTTTTTCTTTAGAGGAAGAGATTATAGGATGCTTAAGCTGTGTTTGCAACATTTGGATTGTTGGCAAAATGTAGTGGGAGTGTGTCATGTTGTAATGTATTCTCAAAGGCTTTCACGGCCAGGATCTGATGGTTGTTGTTGGTTTTTCGGGCTCTTTGGCCATGTTCTGAAGGTTGTTCTTCCTGACGTTTCACCAGTCTCTGTGGCCAGCATCTTCAGAGGAACAGAAGTAGGAATTCCGTCCATGCTGTATTGATGTTTGTTGGGTGGTTGAGTATTTATAGCTGTGGGATCAGCTTTTGTCCTTTTCAGGAGTTAGGGTGATGATGGCGATCAGCGTGTTTTTGTTGTGGATGTATTGTTGTGATAAGGGGGGGAGATTATCTGTCATTGTGATTGATAGGTGTCTTTAGCTGGTCTTTTGTGTGCAATGATCCCTGGCCCTTGTGACAGGGTAGAGTTTGTTGACCTTTTGCAGGCTGTATTTTCCAGTGCTGGGAGCCAGGCCTTATTAAATTGTGTCATGTTGCTTAAACAGACAGCTAAATCCCCACGAAGCAGCAGCATCCATGCAAAAAAGCATGAATGGGCTAGGAATACATTGGGGAGTATGTGTACTCATGTGAAAACAGGGGAGAGAAAGTGAGGAAGCAAGCAAATGGCAGGCCACAGAGTTTCCCTTTGTCTGAGCCTGGTGTATAAATCTCAGTGTTTTTTTGTTTTTAATTACTGAAGGTGCAAT